TTCTAGATCAGAAGCGCAAACATCGGAATTCTAACCGTAGTTCTCAATTTTCTTCATCAGAACTCATTTTTTATGCAGTAAGATATCATATTCGCAATCAGCGTCACACACTGAATCGAATAATATACTTTTTTTACGCTATCCGACTCTTTTGAGTTTTTTTTGATTTCCACATCGAAAAACTACTGAGATTCTCGCCAAAAAATGAAAATCAACGAAAAATTTCGAAATATGTAGCATTCGACTCAGTTTGGACACTGATTGCGAATATGGTATCTTACTGCATAAAAAATGAGTTCTGATGAAGAAAATTGAGAATTACGGTTAGAATTCCGATGTTTTCGCTTCTGATCTAAAAAAAATGAATATTTTTTCAACAACGAAACACCGTAGAAAAAAGCGATTTATACTTTTAAAGCACGTTCAATAGCGGTTCTGATGAAGTAAAAGAATCGGCTTCATCTCTTCGCAAAAAGAGCTAGAAGGCTTGCAAACTTGTTTATGAACTTTTTACAGAGGGAGTCCAAGACTGAATGGATCTTTGATTCAATCTCGATCAAGCATTATTCTCATAGACTACTCAGTTTTTGGTGTTGAGTGTGAAAAAAACACTTCCAGAAAGTCAGAAGCACGAGACAGAAAAGTGTTTTTTGAAACTAAAGGGTTTTCCGAATTTTTCGAGCTTTCAAGTATTTTCGATTTTTCGACATGAAAATAATTTTCAAACATTAGAATACATATTTTCTTCCCCAGAGCGACGAGCTCTATGCAACCATGTATAAAAATTGCGAATGAAAACCTGCTGAATTTTTGAATTTCCGGCACCTTACAACTTAGATTTTTTCTACAACCCAGCTAATGATATCATTCTCCAACCATTTTATCTACGATATCATTTGGCTATGATTCTTAACAGAAATCTACTTCTCAAATAGATTTTTAGATTAACCTAAAAATAATAAACTAAACAGTAAAAGAAAAGAGTGGATAATCAACGTCAAAAGTTTGATAAAATCACTTTGAAAAAATTCTGAACTATTGTCTAATACCAGAATTTTAGTGAAACTTTCAATCTAACACAAAGCAATTATCACTTTCGAGTATATATGAAAAACATCTAGCAAACAGAAGATCTAGCCGACTTTTACTTACCCTCGACGTATTCGCTCATAAAATACTGCCATAATGTATCTGTCAATATTTCAGTGTAGTTTTATGAAGTGTTGAACAAAAAAAAGTCTAACGTCTTCCCTTCAACAGAAAAATGGGTATTTTGACCTTCAATGAATATGCACCGAAATACGCTAAAAATAAATAACAGCTGATAATAATACAGTTATTCACGAACGGTTTTAGAGTTAAGCTAATAATCCGACATTTTTTACGTTTTCATTGATCTTTACTCTTTTACCTGGTTGTCTTTTCATTTTGACATATATTTAAAAAACTTTTTAACGAATTAAAGCAAAAATAACTAATGATATTCAAAAACATGATTCATTTTAAAAAAATAAATCATGACCTATCTTGGACGCTGATTTCAAGTTTTTGACATTTTAATTATCATGTTGGAAATTATAACCTAGCTTCTAAGGAGCATTTGTACGTGTTTTTTCTACCAACACTGAAACAGTAGAGAAATATACTAAATCCTTTTACGAGAAAATTAATTCTTAACACATGCCTAGAAAGTTGAATTAAGCTTTTTAGTTGACATCAACACTTCATTTGGCCGTAATTATCGAAATTCAGAGACTTTAAAGAGAAAAGTTCGTGTATTACAAAGAAACGTAAGCAAACCATGAAATTCACTTTAATCTAACACGATACTATTTCGTCAAAGCAAAAGGTATATATCCAGTGGGGAAACAATATTCAACATCCAAATCATATTTTCCGCAAATACACAGATTTCCATGTCACTAATGCGTTTCTTTATTTACTACGTTTTTTACAATCCGATGACAACACTTTCGCTCTTTTTCGAAAAACATCAATTTGATGAGATGTTTCAAAACAACGGTTTCTGTGAAGAAAACAACAAATAGAAAGAAAAATGAACATGACATCTTTTTTTGTCGTTCTCTTCTTCTTCTTCTTCTTCAGGTTTATTTCAATTTCTTTTTTGGTCGAAGGTTACTTGTGTGTCCACATTTACGTTTGCGACAATTGACGGCACGTGGATGAAGTCGAGCATAGCATCTAAAAAATTAAAATAAAGGAATTATAACAGGAGATAGTTGGAGGGCAAAAATAAATAAATCGCAGACTTTTCACTCAAATTACAAAAACATATTAAGCCTTAATGGTTTAAAAAGTCAGCAAGAGTAGCAGAAAGATATTCTTTGTACTAACAAAAAAACTGATCAAATAACTTCGAAAAATCTCATATCAACTCAAAACAGATTCCCAGAATATTGCATTACTTTTAGAGAACGGAATTGAAATCATCTACGTACTTTCGACAAATAACTTTGTCACAATTGAATTTTTGGGCTAACATACGAAGTGTTGGTTCAATTGTTCCACCACGAAGTCCTGCAAATACACACCGTATTTTTTCCAAAATGTAAGCGATGAAAATAAATTATTAAGCTTACTTAGTACAAGATGAAGTGTACTCTCTTTCTGGATGTCTACAATATGAAAATAAATGATTTAAGAGATATTTGAATGAAAACAAGATTTATTTTCCAGATGAATAACTTACTATAATCAGAAAGTGTTCGTCCATCTTCTAATTGTTTACCAGCAAAAATTAAACGTTGTTGATCAGGTGGAATTCCTTCTTTGCTAAAATATTGACATATTATTCAGTTATGCGATTATACAAAATCAGGAAAAAACTTACTCTTGGATTTTAGCTTTAACATTTTCGATTGTGTCTGATGGTTCGACATCAAGAGTAATTGTTTTACCTATAGAAAGGAGAAGTGAATAATTTACGAAAGCAGTGAAAATGGATGATACAAACGTACCGGTTAAAGTTTTCACGAAGATTTGCATCGTCGCAGAGTATCTATAGGTAAAAAACAAAGAATGAAAAGATTAAAACAACAAAGATTTCTTTAGCGGTAGTCCTAACTGAATTCATAAAGCTGATAGTGAGATACTGTAGTTTTTTAAAAAGCTTTTCACATTGTTCCCTTTCTGAAAAGACAAATGGAAGGAAGCGACAGTGAGCTGAAGAAGCATTACTGAAAGCAAAGCTGTTTCCTACCATTTTTACTGTTCATGTTTCAGCGCCTCGATGCCTATACTTAATAGTAAAATTTCTGCATTTGAAGCAAAAAATTTGTAAGAAATATATATGAACCTCACTTTCTTATAACTCTACCAGTGGAAGAAGCTTTCGATAACATATCAATGCGATTCTGTTTCATTGGTTGATAAGTGGTCAGTAGGTATTCAATGGATAGCTAATAGACTTATTAAATTCTATACAGTATTGCATATAATATACATGCAAAACTTGAAACCTAGCAGGGTAAAACGAGTTCAATTACCAACTCGAACGTGTGTAGTTTGGAAGGAATCGGCAATCAAAACCGATATCGAGAATAAAATACAGAAAAATATCATTGTGTACGCATTATTACAAGAGAAAGATTTTACAGTTTCTTTTTTTATTGTTATGAACCCTAAAGAATTGACACATACATTGATTATTTACAATTGTCGAGTTAGATATAGTTAGGAAAGTTGAGAAGGAGAGAAAAAGTGTTATTGTCTCATCTGTATGATGTTCGATATTGTTTATTTTAATGATATTTATAGACTCCTGTAAAGTTAAAAAGGCACGAAAATCGTTTTTATTAGAAAAATTCTTAAAAACTCAAACACTTGATAGCTTTTTGTCTTTTTTCTGTATTGCTGAGATGATAAATAATTCTCTTAGTGAGCTAGCTGTAGCTAAAGCTGATATAATCGTACCAATTAGGTATCTTTACTACTTCTGGTTCTAACCTTAGTTGTCTTGTTTATTTTGTTCTTTTTTTATTACTCTTTTTGTGTTGTTTGGCTTGAGTCGTTGTTATTACAGGTCAGTGACTCTTGATGATTCTCACTTTTCGTAAATAAAACAGTCTTAGACTTAGTCTTAGGTTTTTAATTGTAACATCTAGAACGTTGAAATAATTTGCTTGAGATTTTGATTTTTACAACAAATGCTGTTAACGACAGGTGTCAAATACGCTAGATAAGTAAGGTAGTTTACTTCAGACATATAGCTCATTCTGAGAAAATTTGTTTTATCATTAAAAAGAACAAGAGACTTTTGTTTCACCGATCTATATGTTGCAGTTGAAATTAAAATTCTACTAGTGAAGATTAAAATTTTAATCTGTACTAGTGGAATATAAACTGCAGATATCTGCAAAGTATGTATTTTCCATAACCTAGACTTTGAACTGCAAGATCAAGTTTACAAGCTTCCATATGAGAACAGAATGATGTGAGAGTAGTGACAAAACAATATCCCAGGTGATATGGTCTGACACATTCGTATACCTAGGCTTTGTACTTTATGTTGTTTTGTCACTCACTCTCACATCTTGCAATGCCCTCGGATGTTCTCATCAATTTCTGGAAGTCTGTAAGCTCGATCTTGCAGTTCAAAGCCTAGTTTATGGAGAATACATACTTCAGCCTATGTGTAGGGATCTGCATTTTATTTTCCATTAGTAAAGATTAAAATTTTTAATTTCCACAAGTAGAATTTTAATTTCAACTGTAACATATACATTAAATGAGAAAACTGACATATCTTAGAGACCATCAGACTGAGAAAAAATATATACCAAAACTGAATTCATTTTAAACTCAAAAAATTGTTATCAATTTTGTTCAAGAGATGTTTACTTTAGCATCTCAAGTATAATCATTATTGTCTCAAAGCAATTTATTATATTAAAGTATTTTATATCGTTTCAGATAAGCAATGTCTACCTATCAAATATATCGTAATACAACATTAGGAGTAACATTACAGGATACGCTGGATGAAATGATATCGGTAATTTACATTGTTTTATTCTGAAACTATTTTCACCTATTTGACGTGTGGTAATAGGTATTTCAATTTTATTTTCAGCAAGGATCACTCACCGAACAAGCAGCTGGTAAAGTTTTGAGTGAATTTGATCGTGCGATTAATGTGGCTTTAGAAAAACGAACAAATAAAAAATGTAATTTCCAAGTACGTACTCAATTTTAGTTTTAAAATGTAAAATTATAGTAAAGTATATCCATTTGCCTCTTTTATAAATAGGGAAAATTGAGTACATATCGCTTTTGTGATAATGTTTGGACATTAGTACTAAAAGAGTTTACTGTCAAAGATCCATCTAATTCGAGCAATTCTCCACCATTACATGTAGATAAAGTTAAAATTGTTGCATGTGATGGAAAAGGTGAGTTATATTTTTCATTACTAGGTAGATCATACTGATCATTTTTCTCTTTTACTTCTAGCTACACCAACATAAATCGAGCATTATTCATGCAATATATTTTTTTCTTGTTTAATCCAATAACGTGAACAGAACTTTATTTTGTAAATGACATTTCATTTTTGTTTTTTTCTAAACTTTCTATGTACTGTTTTTTTCTAACTGAACGCTTTTTTGTATAAACTCTTGATAAAAATAATAGAAAATGTAAGAAAAAATGGTATACTTTTTCAGAATATATAATGTATTAAAGGGTCTTAGCAGTACGCATTTCGAAAACAATCTTATATTTTGTTCTCATATCAAAGAGACACTCTGTACTTCCGGAACTCTTCTAGGATTATACACATGCTGGGTGAACTACGCGAACGCTTTTTCAATGTCTTTTTGAATGTTGAAAAATAACATCACTTCAAACATCGTACCATCGATCAATGAAAGTCAAGGAGTTTTAGGTTCGTGTTTTGACTTGACTTGTTCTTCTTCGATGGTAAGTATTTTTTATTTTATTTAATATTAATAATAGTTTCTACCATACAAAACAACCAATAGATCGTATTTAAAAAAATCTAAGCATTTAGGTAGTTTTTTATATCTTTGTGTTTCTCTGAAGTCGTTGGTATAGATGGTTTATGTAAAAAGTTCTGTCACAATATTATTATAATATTATATTATATAGGGGGGGTATACTCTATACTATTATATATATATTATATTATATATATTATACTCTTATATATATATATATATAGCCCCTCCTGTAGTGCCGATACAAGGTCAAGTGCTCTTTGATGAGTTAGTTCAGATTTTATTTGTCTGACAGATACATTGTCACTATCTCATTGAATGCCACGTCGAATGAAAGCTGTTACTGCAGGAGTCTATAATTCGATTTCTTGGAAACATGTTGTTTCTGTTCTACATCAATGATATCAGATCGGTGACAACAACAAAACTTGTACGAAGTACATGCAGATGACATGTCAGCAAAGCAAAGATTTTTGAATCTTAGCGAGCTAATTCACGATCTCGATCGACTTTCACAGTCCATTGATATATGGCTACTGTATGTCAAAGTTAAAAAAATGTAAATCTTTACCTGTAAAGTAAACCTTTCGAAAATCGAAGCCATGTATCTGCGCTTCTTTTGCCGAAAGGTGCAATAGTATCACAAGTTGATGGGTTACATATTCCAGTATGATGTTGTCGTGAGATATGACTTGAATCCATCACATTGATATACGTAGAAAAAATGAATTTGCTCTTCCTGAGTATTCTGACAAGAATTATGCCATTGTTTCATGTGAAAAAAGACTTATACTAAAGAATCAGTATGTTAGCAACGGACAAAGATGATCGAACAATATCATGATGTTTAGACAAGTAAGTGAGATCCATAAACTATTATTGAAAAAACACTTAGTTGCCGAGTGAATAAATTTATTGACGGGACTTTATTAATCAATGAACCGCGTATGATTGCAGCTGAACTACTCATCATTTATGAACTTATTTAAGCTTTCGAATAAACTTTATTCAAAAGTTTATTCGTAAGCTTAAATAAGTTAATAAATGATGAGTAGTTCAGCTGCAATCATACGTGGTTCATTAAACACTTAGTTTCATTTCTAACGAGTGTGCCATAATAAAGTGGACTAAATGTTACTGCATTTTTTTCGCACTTCCTCTTCAAATTAGAAGTTTCTTTACATACCAACAGATAGAGAATTTCAAGCTCTACAAAACCTACTATTTGAATCTCTGAGAGCATTTTTCTCGTTTGAGCACCATTCAAAATATTGAAGAGTACTAAGTTGTCGAACTGCGACACACTGAAAATAGAAAAACATTTGCCTTGATCCAAAAATAAATTCCATAAGATTTTTGAAAACATCAGAAGATTCACCGGAAAATTCTGCATCTTCTCACATATTTTTCGAAATTTTGCAGTTAAATCTTCTAGGAAAATTTCTCTGTGCAAAAAGCTGATAAATCTA